TCTTTTATTGCATTCTGGGCAGTTAATATTCTCATATTGTATTTAAGCTTTTATATTCAACAATTTCTTTGATTTTATATTAGCAATATTCATTTAACGATAGATATTTACTTATAGTTAATGAGTCATTATCAGAAGTTGCCCATCATTTTAATGTTAACTTTCATATTTTTCAACCAACGTATCCATCCATGTTGAGACACCTATTACTCTTAAATTAAGGTACATCATAAAAGTATATGTTTCTTCTGTTAACACTGCAAAAAATTAAATTAAATGAAATGCCCACGTAGAACAGGAAACTAAAAGAATTTAGATCCGACATAATCTTTAAACTTATATTATATACAATATAATTATACATTATAATATAATTTATACATGAAATAAAATCAATATATATATATTTAATTTAAAATAATTAAAATCGTTCAGTGAACGAAAGATTAATCATCAGAGAAGAAATAAAAATTCTACTTCCTCTCTAAAAATATAAAGATTTATCTTCGTTCGAAAATGAACACGGCGCAGTTTTAATTATTTTTATAGAATATAAATCTTTTTCTTTACTTTTTTCCCCTCTGCTTTACACGACTCTAATCTAAATCGTCGAAGACAACATTCCAAATCGAAATCGGTCGAATAAGTAATATGAACGGTACAACATACATCTTGTTTTACATCGTATTTGAGTTTTCTCGTGTTGCAATGGCTGATTCGGCGAGTGAAGCTAGCTCGAACTGATACCGAACAGGGCTTCCAACGAATTAGAATAACAAATTGAGAGCGCGAGGGGAGTAATTGTGAGAATAAGATGTTGACAAGATGTTTGCAAGATCGGGCAGAAGGTGGTCATTTTGAGGTGGTAGTAACCAGATATGGTCGGTTGAAAACGTAAAATTCATTATAATTATAATTCGAATACGAGATGGAACAGGATCTTGTCTTAGATCGGTGCTCGTCGTACGTTATTGTCTTGCGCGTACGTAATGTAAATAGATTTACGGGAATGAAATTATGAAACATAATATTTATACTTCCCAGATAATTGTTTATTCAAATTTTGTCGTTCGAGCTTGTGATTTTTGCAATTATATTGATTCGATCTTTAAATAAAAGGAATTCAGGCGGAATATTATTTAATTTAGACGATTTTATATTTTGCTGATAATTGATTTTTCAATGCATGTTTTATCTATACCTATTATTATTTCTTACGTAACATTGTTTGTATTTCTAGTATGAAAGATATACGTGGTATAGATAAATAAATGGCTAAATGAGGAATCGTAAAAAAAAAAAAAAAAAAAAAAAAAAGAATATGGCGAGGATTTGAAAGCTACAAATCAGACACGAAACAAGATTCAAGAGGAGCTTCCTCTTGAAATCCAATGAGAAATCGCTT